GAAGAACTAATAAGTCAACAAGCCTCGTATTGAAGTAATTTTTCCTCTAGGATAGTTACTTCATCTGGATACTCAAAATATAGTACAAAGCTGTTAAAATAAATACTTGAACCATGTATACGTCGCGGATACGATTTCACCACGATTGCTGCAATATCCAAATTAACATTTTAGTTTAATGTGTAGAAATTGTGATACATAACAAATTCTTTGAAAAAAACTATGAAAGCTTGGGAATTCGGGAGAAAACCCACGCTTTTTCAAATCTAAGTAGTAAAAGACTGGTACATCTGGGCCTATCCCATCTTTAACTCTGAATTCTACACTGATCCATTGGGAATCATTGACCGGAAGAACCTTAAAAAGGTTAATTTTGTGTAGATGTTACAACTTTTTTTTGAAGAAATAAATACTGCTTACAACTTTTTTTGAAGAAATAAATATAAATACTAATACACTCTGCTTGGTAATATGAGAAATTTGAAGTGGTTAAGTTAACTCAGAATGGAATGGATGGATTTCCAACAAACAAGTCGAATAAATCAAAGTGGCTTTTTGTTTTGCGAATATCCTAGTAATGTGTCTTGAAGCGTAGATTTTGATCTAATTTGGTATGTATGGAAGATTCTTGGAAAGAGGTATGAAAGTTCTTTTTTGCCAAAGTACTTGTATAAGCAGTTGATAATTTTTTTCAAAACAATAACATCGTCGAAAACAACAATGCAAGTGTTCATTCCTAAACAGCGTCGCATGTCACACTTATATCGAGGTCTTTCACTGCTGAATCACCTTTTAAAGTTAGTTTCTGCACGCAATCATTAAGAGAGGATAAACTCTAACTTCTTAACGACCGCAATTAATAAAGGCAAATTTGAAGTAAGCGTTTCAGACCCCTTCTGATTGTACACATCTTATTCCCTTGTGAGGTTGCAGTTAAACAAATAAAGAGCTTTCAATGGGGTGTGAGATAAATTCGCGTTTTTTTAGAAGTCAACTGTATTGGGAAACCAGATGTTTTCAAAATACATTGTATATCGTTCAGAAGAAGTTACAAATTAATTGCTTGATTCATTTAGAGGTGGGTTTGTTAATCTAGAAATGATTGTAAATATGCTTCTAGAAGTCTAAAAAATCAATCGACAGGTTCACTTTTGATTGTGAGAAACCTGGAGTCTACAAGAACGCTACATTATAGTGTAATTGGCTATCTTACTTACGAGAAAGATAGCCATTTACATTGTACGATCTTACTGTAAAAGAGATAGCTATACGATGCAGGATTAAGTCCACTGATTTTCCAGAAAAGTGGTCTACATAGGCTTGGATGAATACTGACCACAAAATGTCTATTACCTATAGTAAAGCAATTTCGCACACTAAACACTGATTTGTCTGAAAAGTAACTATTAGCTTTTTTTAAACTTCGTTTTTCCCGCACGCATCTGCTGTATGAGTCAACTATCTCCACTATTCTCGATTTAAGGCATGATCTTATAGCCGGCTCTGATTCTGTCCATCCACCTCATCTTTGCTCTTTCCCGTGGTCTTTTTCCAGCGACCTCCAGAGACATAGCCATTCTTGTGATGTGGTTTTCATCTCTTCTACTCACATGCCTGTACCGCGGCAGTCTTTTTTCCTGCATTTTCTTAACGATGGGAGCGACTTTCATCCTTGCACGAACTTCGTCATTATAGACATAATCTAGCAAGGTGTTACCCAATATCCACCGCAGCATTCTTTTCTCCATGACGCTACCCTCGTGTTCTTCGTTCGCGTACTGGGCCAACATTCGCTGCTATACAGCGCTGTGGGACGGATCACAGTACGATATATTCGGGATTTGAGTTCCACTGGCATCCGCTTGTCGCATAGAATTCTTGCGAGGGTCTCCCATTTCATCCGGAATGCATTTGTCCTGGCAGATATTTCGTCTTGAAAACCTCCTTCGCTAGAGATGCAACTTCCTAGATACTGGAAGGTACTCGCTTCTTGATTGGCTTCTCATCGATTTATATGCTTCCTGAAGTTTGATCTCCCACTTTCATGTATTCTGTCTTCTTTGTGTTGAGCTTTAAGCCGTACGATCCTAACTGGTCCTTCCATCTCTGCGCTTCTTTTTTAAGTTCTTTCCTGTTTTCTGCCATCAATACCACGTCGTCTGCATATAGGGGACCCCATGAAGGCTGTCGCTTGAGACCTTCTGTCGCTGCATCCATGACTGTTAAAAGCAGAGGAGAGAGCACCGATCCCTGATGCACGCCGGTCTTTATGCGGGATAGTTTTGACTGTCCTGCCGCGCCTTGCACGTGGCTCGTGGCTCCGTGATAGATCATTTTTATCCATTGGATGTATATTTCTGGAACCGCAGTGCCCACCATATGACATCATGGGGTTTCTTTTCGAAAGCTTTTTCCATATCAGGAAGAGCCGCATGCAGCCCTCTTCGTTTTTCTCTATGCTTCTCCATCATTATCCATACAGTATGGATGGCGTTAACAATACCGGCACCCTTTAAAAATCCCAGTGATTGGATGGCAACTCTATGATCCCTCAAGTCGTGTTTCAAGTACTCTTTCGAAGATCTTCAGGTGTGGTTCATTAGCCGGATTGGCCGTGTTGAACAATCTGCGATATCGCCTTTATTTTTCCATATCGGAATCGTTGTGCTCTTTGACCAAGTGGGGCATGCTTTTAGCTTTGATGACCTGATTTTAGAAAGCTGAAAGCTATGAGGCATCGGACCATCCGCATTCTTTCCCGTATTCGCTTGGTATGTCATCTGGACCAGTAGCCTTGCCGTTCTTTTTCCTTGTTATAGCAAGCCATACTTCCTCTGTTGTTATGAATGGTACTGGTCTTTTCACACCGTCAGCTGATGGGATAGCTGTGCCAATGCTGGTAATAGACGACATTTCTTTGAAGTATGTTGTCTATCTCTCAGATTTCCCATGGCCCTTAGCGTTTTTCTAAGCTCATCCTTCACATGGTAAAAGTGTTCCATATCTTTTGCAGATTCTACCCTTCCTCGCGCTATTCGGTACACGCTCTCCATCATGAACTCCAATTTTTTATACAGTTTTCCTACGTATGCCTTCCTTTCTTGACACATGCTTTTGCAGCGTGTTTCATTTTTAGGTTCAACTGTTGTTCGCTTTCCGATTTCGACTTATGCCAATGCTTGTATGCCTGAATCCTTTCCTTAATCACCGTTTGAATCTCATGGTTACACGACCAAGTTTCTTTGTTGATTCTTCTTCTTCCTGGCTTCGTGTGACCCAGTAAACTCCTTGCTACCCGATGCACGTTACGCTTCGAGGTTGACCATAACGTTCTGTTTTCTCACATAAGGCCGGTAGGGTACTTACCAATGCTTCTTTGGCCAAAGAGTTCCCTTTCAATTTCCACCACTTGATTCGTGCTTTGTTAGTCATAAGTTTTCTTTGTCGTTCAACCGGAATTTTTAGGTCTAAAAGTAGTGGCTTATGCTGAGGTATGCAGCTTTCACCTGAGCTAATTTTATAATCCTTTATGTTCTTTAGGTTATTGTAACGCACTGCCGAGTAGTCAATTTGTGTCTGACGGTCTCCACTTGAATCATAATCAGGTGCTCATGCTTTTTGATGTAGTACGTGTTTAATGCCAGACTTTACGCTGTGGCGAACTCTAGAATGCGTTCGCCTTCTTCATTGCATGTGCCGTATCCGTGGTTCCCGTGACACTTTCCCGCACCATTTCTTTCCTTCCTTACATGACCGTTTAGGTCCGCTCCGAGCATGAGTATCCATGAGTATCCAGTATATGGAGGATTTTTCTACCAGTATCAATCTTTATGCTCATAAGTCGATCGCTTAATCGATTAACTGCAGCAACCCTGCTTCTTAGGCTTTCTGAGGCAGCTAAACTTACTCCATTGCGACTGCTGCTCGTGCCGTTGTAGAGGAGCTCATCTCCATAATCGCGTGATTTTACACCCTTCCATTTTGTTTCTTGCATGCAAACTATGTCCACTCGCCGTCTTCTCAGGAGACCCGCCAATTCTCGATGTCGTCCAGTGAGGATTCCGACA